GCACATTGACGTGGTATAATGGATGATGCTATTACAATGGTCTACTAATACTTGATGCGCTTGGGCTTCTTCTTTTTCGCGTCGGCCGGCGCCGCCGTCGGCTGCTTCTCCGACTCCTTCTTCTCGACGCGCTTGCGCACAAACGACTTGGGGAGCGGCACGTCCGCCTCGGTGATCGCGTCGCGCTGGCGAAGACCAATGCGGACCAGCTCCACGTCGAAGAAGAGCGTCGAGTTGGGCGGGATCTTGTCGCCCTTGCCGGCTGCGCCATACGCAAGCTCCGGCGGGATTGTCAAGTGGCGCTTCCCGCTCGCACGCATCGTGGCCATGCCTTCTTCCCAGCCAGGAATCACAGCGCCTTCGCCAAACTTCATGGTAAGCATGCCTTTGCCGAAGATCGCGCCGCCCTTGCTGCCAATGCAGCCGCGGTACCGCACGGTGAGCATCTGGCCCGGCGTCGGGAGCTTCCCGCGGCCGATCGAGAGGTCGCGGAGCGTGATACCACTCGGCGTCGTAATCTCTACACCAGTCTTGGCTTCGTACTCGGCCGCAAGCGCCTCCCGCACATCGAGCGGCTCGACAAACGACTTAGGCGCCTCGGTGACAAGCATCTTGAGGTCTTCCTGGGCAGCCTGCTTCTCGAGCTCCGCCTTCTTCTTCTCCCGCTTGTTGAGGTTGTCGTCCTTCTTTGCCGCCTTCTTCTTCGGCTCTTGCTTCTTCGGTTCCGGCTTCTTGCCTTCCACCTTGGCCTTCTTGGCAACCGGCTTGGGCTCGTCGTCCTCGTCGTCGCTGTCGTCGAAAAGCGACTTCTTCTTCGTGGGCGTGGGCGCCGCCTTCTCTTCTTGGTCGTCGGCCTCGGGCTCGGCAGCGGTGTCCTCCGGGACCGGCGCACCGCCCTTCTTTTGCTGCTTCTTCTTGCGCTTGAGCGACGCGCGGCTAAGGCCCTTCGCTTCCGACTTGGGCTGCTCCTTGAGAAGAACGCCGTCTTCCATCTTGTCTTTGGCGCTAATCATCTGGAAGAGGTCGGCTTCGCCCGTCTTGTGCCACGGATGGTCGACGCCCCAGGTCTGGTCCGGACGGCCGTAGCCGCCGACGCGGACGCGCATGTCGGCAGCGAACCGACCGGTCATGCTGTTGTTCATAGAGCGCACGCCCTTGTTGGACGAGATGACGTCGAGGCTGTCCGCCTCATTGCCCTTCCGGTTGTCCTTGCGTCGCACGAGCACCATCGTCGTCCGCAGCGAGCTGATGCAAATGTGCTCTCGGCCACGTTGGATTTGATTGGAGACCACTCCAGTTCGCGCATTGGCCAATGGCATCGCGGGGTTGGATACAGGTCCATTGCGATTGGCGGATATCTTTAGATGGATTTTGGCCAATGGCAATCGATTGAGCCGCGTATCAACTTGAAAGACTGGGTCCTGACGCTGCCACGGATGCAATCGTGCTCAAGTATCGATCGCTTTGGTTGCTACGAGCCGCACACGTAAGCAGAAGAAGCAGAAGGGCGCGCCACGCATCACCGGTTGAGAAGCACGAGAGTTCGAGAAGTTGCGACGTTGCTCTTTGGTCTTGACTGCATCCTCATGACCTACAAATGCCAATAGATTGAAGAGCTGGTCGGGGATTGCACGAGTGGCGACGTCAGCAGCCCGATAGTACGGGTAAGCTCTGCGTTAAGACATTGCGGAAAGCAGTCTAAAAACATCGTCCTACCGAGTAGCCTGAATAGTGGCGCAGTGTAGTGCTGTGCAGAAGCCATCGAGCTTGGCAGGTACCCCTGTACGAACCGATTATTGGCGGCACATCACCAGACCGAGGGTTGACCCAAACATTGACTTGCTTGCACGTTGTGTTTGGCGCCAACGAGAGAACCTCCAATAACCTATACTTGCCCGCCGGTATCGGATACGAAGGGTCGTATCTGCACATTCCGGATACGAGGAGATTGCCGTTTCGATGACCACGCCGGCCGCGCTGTCGGTCCCGGTGCGCGCCGCTTCGCCGCTGGTCCGTGCTGATAGCTGACGTATAGCGATGGACGTACCTTGCGGGCTGCCCGCTCCTGAAGCTGCTGCTATTCGTTCTCTTGATGGAGATCCCGCACTCGACGCTGCGCGTGGACGCTGCCGGCGGCTCGTTCCACTGGAACTTGGACGAGATCCTCTGGCTGCTTGGCATTGCGGCGCTGGCGACGGCCGCCTTTTACAGCGTTCAAGGCAGTGACCCAGGCTACATCAGTGAAGGTACATTGACTGCTGTCTACTGCTTTTGCGCATCGTCCGCTTCTAGACACGGTCCTGCGAGAACTGGAGCTCGCAGGCGGAGGGCTCTTGGACGACTGCGACAGCGACGATGCCGGTAGGCTAGCGCCAGTGTACAGGCCGTGTTACAAGGTGCGACGTAGACGAGGCCAAGCAGCGGCGCGAGATCGAGTACCGCAAGCGCAAGATCGAGCTCATGGAAAAGGAGCTCGCAGGCGCCGACGTTGCAGCGGCCCCACCGACGCAAGAGGTCCAAGCCGCGACCAAGATGGAGTTTTGCGCGGCGTGCAGCTTGGAGCCGGTACGTCACCGTCGCCACCGCGCGTGCGTCACAAAAGACGCCGTATTAGCCGCTGCGGTCGTATCACTGTCCCTTCTGCAACCGATGCGTCGCGACGTTCGACCACCACTGCTTCTTCATTGGCACGTGCATTGGCGAGCGCAACCACTGCCGCTTCTGGTGGTTCATTTTGCTATCGTGCATGGAAGTCTCGACCTGTCTCGGCATCGTGCGCTCAATTCTAGTTGTCACAGCTTTCACCGACGATCACGTAGATTCACTCGAGCTTCCACACGGAAGCCACGCTGCAGCTCTGGCTACGCGCAAACGGCATGGCCCTCACTGCGGCCATGTTCTTTTGGGTACAAAGGCTGTGTTGTTTCGTGGCATTTACGATCCCAACCTAGTTTTTCGCGCTCTTGACGTACAGTTTGCTCGGCTTTCACAGTACTAGAGTATGGCGGACTGCATGGGATACTGAGAACGAGACGTAGCGTTCCTTATGCTGACCAACTCGACGACGCGCGAGCTCGGGAAAGGACCCGAAAAACTAAAGTACTTGACCGGCACGCGCGAATGCGACCTTCCGTTTAGTCATGTACGTGATGTCGATCAATGGCTGGAAGGATTTAGTAGTTTTGTAGGGACTGTGCGGCAACCTCCGAGCGTTCTGCTGCCTTCGACCTGGCTGCTGGTTGCAAAAGAGTACGTGGACGCCGTATGCGTGGAAGCCCGTGGGGTACGTGCGTCCTCTTGTACGTGCGATGTGTTGATTTTGCAAAGCAAAATTGAGCGTGACTCGGACCAGATCTGGGACCACTTGTGGGAAAATAAGTACTATAGTTGCTGCTAACCAGCTGCATACTGACCAAGCTGCGCGCTCGACAAATATAGTCGTTTACTGCGCGCACTGCGTCTGCGATGCATGAGACACGAAGTCGATGTCCAGTAGCAGTGGATGAAACGACTAATCGACTAATCGACTGACTGAACGACGGACTTACTGAATGACTAACTGATGACGCGATAGTCGAAACCTACTAAGATCCGGGTTCCATTTTGCAACGATCGCGACGATGGAGAATGCGCTCGCGGACGAGAACGATACGTGGCGGAAGAACTACCTCAAGGAAATCCAGACGAACCGCGAGCTGACTAAGCAGCTCAAGGTATGGAGCACTTGCAGCACCATTGGCCACGTCATCACCGCACCGCAGGAGCTCACGCGCCGCCTCGAGCTCGAGAAGGAGAAGATCGATGCGCCAGAGCCCCAGGTGAGCATCGCTACCGCGTTGTCATGTTAAGTCATCTACTAGGTCAATGACGAGCCAAGCACAATAAGCTGTGCGTCGTGCGTAGTCTTGCAGCGCGAATTGGATGTCCTGCGGGCGAGGCATGCCGCCCTCGCCGAGCGCTACCGGCTCCTCGAGCTCGAGCTCGAGAGGCCGCGCGCGACCGACATCAAGCAACCACTTGCGCCGCCATTGCAACTGCCCCAACCGACCGAGCCAGCGCGGGTCAAGCGCCTTTCGGATCCGGCCGAGATGGACTCGGCCTGCCAGAGGTACGCAGTTCGCTTGGAAATCCCCGTGGTAGCGCTGCGTTAGCATCTTCAACGTCAACAACAACACGCCGCACGTCGTGTGCGCAGCGGCAAACGAACCTGCGTCGGCAAAGCACTTGTTCCAGTACGGTCTCCTCTTTGGGTACGCGGCCGTCGACGACGCTCATGACACGGCCCCGTTCAAGCGGTGTCGGAGCGTCCCCGAAGGCCGCGCCAAGACGCTGCAGCACCAAGCGTCGCTTTCTGCGATCAAGTCGCCACCCTCGTCGTCGCTCTGGCCCTTTGGAAAGCTCAAGCCCGCAGCCCAGCCGCACGTCGCCGCCTTACCCAAGGTACTATCTTATCGCGGCTGCAGCATCACGCCTGTGGGGTTAGGTCATGGCTGGATACCCGTCGCCGTTACCTGCCTCGTCGGGTGATGTGGCGTGCCTCATGGAGCTCTGCTTTCCGACTGGCGAGACGAGCTATGCTCACTTGCGCCCGACAGCCGTCGCCGTCTTGCACCGTACCGAAGCCTCGTTTGTGCTGCGATTGTCGGGCCAAGACGAGGTAGTCGCATCGCTACCGACTAGCAATCAATTTTAGTTGACCAGGTGCACTACGCCATGTGTGTCGTGACGGCAAGCGAGACGAACGTGCTTCGGTGTTTCTGCCTCGTGAGCGTCCACCCTTTCTTTAGCCTCTTCTTCAAGGTCCTCCACGGCATCGTTGCCCTCTGCAACGTCCAGCGCGGCGCGGCAGGTGCGTCTCTGTTGGTGTCTCTTGAAGATTGGACAAGTTGTCTCCTCCTTGCGTAGACGTATTTGAAGACGTCTTGGCGCGGCTGTACGCAACACCCGTGCCTTCGATGGGCGGCTGGTCGTGCTTCCGCCTCGAAGCTGCGTACCCGCTTCTGACGTTTCATCGTCCGCACACCAAGGACGTGGCGAGTCAACACCGCCAGTTTGTCCTCGAATGGACGTCACCGTGGCTCTTCTCCAAGGTCTCGCTCGACCACTTGCTCGTCGTCCTCGGCCTCTTAAGCTGCGAGAGCAAGGTGCTCGTGCTCGGCGCCGACCCGACGGTCGTCACGTCCTGTGTGCTGGCGCTCGCTGCGCTCCTCGCACCGTTGCAGTGGGTATGGCCATGGGTTGCTGAGCGGCTCTCATGCCGGCGGTTGTAGGCGGGCGCGCTCCTGACGCTGATTCCTGCACGTCTCGACGAGCTCCTCGAGGCGCCCGTGCCGGTCCTCGCCGGTCAAATGGTCCCGACCGACTCGGTCGTGGCGCCGATTCGCAACGTGGCCGTGCTGGACGTCGACATGAACCAGATCATCTTGCACCCGGACGACATGGCGCAGCTGCACGAAGCCAAGTGGCCCGAGAGCGACCAGCTCCGCTTTGAGCTCCGGCCCGCGGCCGACAAGCTCTTTGGCAAGCACGTGACGCCGCACCGCATCGAGCGCGACGAGGTCGAGGCGTGCGAGACTCTGTCGTCCTCGATTTACGCCCACCTCGAGCACCTCTTGTCCGCCGAGCCTACTGTGCCGTCCCTTCTTCTCGACAAGCTGCGCAGTACGCAAATGTTTAGCGACTTGATCGGGGTAGTCGCCAAGGACGACGACGATATTGGTGGGGACAGCGACCACGGTTCCGACTGCGACGGCGAGTCCATCTTATACGATGCCTAGTACGTTGCACTCTACTAGCCAGGGGCAAGTAATAGCCTAAGTCTAGCTAAATGATGAATGCACAAGCGCTTGCGAGACCACTACACTTTCTAATGAGTCGATCTTGGTCCACGATGTCGCGACATGACGTCTGGTTCTATACTGTACCAGAATTCGATCTGATTTTGGTATCGCATCTGGTCGCCGCCTCGGGCAATTCGCCGCCGTCCAGATCGCATCTGAAGGAGGACGTAGGGACGCGCATGGCGGTCGCGCGTTGTTCGAGGAATCGGTTCCTCGTGCGCTGCGGGTGCCACGTATGTGGCGTCATATTAATACCGCGGCCCGCCTTTCTCTTGCATTTTAATTGGTGTATACTGCATGTTTGTATGTAATTGTATTTTATTAGCAAAAATAGTATAAAACGAATGCTATAAATACCGTCCGGGCGCGTATTTTAATGCATTTTGTTCATTGACACTCGCGGCTTCAAACAGGCAAATGTATCAAGATTGGGATGTCGAGTGGTATTAAAATACGAATAAAAATGCGCGCCTCAAGATTCCGTCATTTGGCCATGGTCGGGCTCAAGCTCATGCGCAACCCGTTCCGGGCGCGGTCGCACTCGGACGGCCTGCCCGAGGACAACAACCAGCTGCTCAAGCCGAGCGAGCTCCCGCCCAAGCGGCTCTCGAGCCTCAACGTCGAGCAGCCCTCGGGCCGGGCCAAGCTGGCGCCGCCACGCCACGGGACGCCCGAGGAAGACGGCGACGACGACGCTGCCCATCCCGCTCCATCCAAGAAGACACCCATGACGCTCAAGGCTGCGTTGGCATCCACGTCAGGCTTTATGTACAAGAAGCTCGCCTTTCGACAGAGCCCCGAGAAGAGCGAAGGCGATGGGCACGACCACACGCCCTGGTACGCCACCAATACGCCAAATCCCTCCATCATTGACGGTACCAATATGCTGCGCAGGGACTCGGACTCGGACGATGTCGATGGCATCTTCCCCAACGGCACGGTCGTCGCGACCAAGTATGGCACCGCGCTCATCCTCGAGTACCGTCCGGACGACCGCATGTACGTGGTCAAGACGTTTTGGCACGCGACCGCCTACTTCAACGCCGAGACGGTCGTGCGCGAGGTCAAGTGCATGATCGGCGACCGCGTCAAGACGCGCTGGGGCCTCGCGACGGTTGAGAGCTACTACTTGGATGACGACATGTATGGCATCGCGCTCGATTGGCGCTGGGACGACGACCACGTGTGGCGCATGAAGGCGACCACCAAGATGTTTACGCCGATCGGGAAAACCAAGTCGCGCGCGCAACTGACCAAGGAGCTCATGCAAAAGACCGCCGCCGTCGGGTACTCGTCGCTGCGGACGTCGACGTCGACACTGCGCTCGTCGACGTCGAGCAGCTACAACTCGCTCGTGACGCGCATGTCGTCGATCAGGTAAACACATTCTACCGCTTTGCCCATTATCTAAACCGATCTATGATGCCATAGCACCACAATGAGTAGTCCCAAGCCTCATGACGATGTTCCGGCCAAGGCCCACCCCGCTGTCTGGACGCCGTTTGGCGAAGGCCGCGTGCTCGGGATCCGCGCCAGCGACGGCATGGCCAAGGTCAAGCTCTTGTCCGGCCCCACGGCGTATCTGCTTGCAACTTCGCTCGAACCACTTGCTTTTGGCACCAACGAGCACGTCGCCACGACCTTTGGCGATGGGTACATAAGCGAATACCGCCACACGGACAGCATGTACACGGTCGTCCTGGCGGCGTCCGGGGTCACGCTGTACACGCAGTCGCTCGAGTCGCTTCTCAAGCCAGCACCGTCCTCGACGACGACGACTAACGCGACAGCATCGTCGCTCTTCAAGTCGCTGCCCAAGGTGCCATTCAGCGCGCCCAAGCTCTTTACGGCCGTCGGCCGCAAGGAAAAGTACGCAGTTGGCGACCGACTCAAGAGCCCATTTGGCACCGTCGTCGTCACCGAGTACCGCGGTGAGGACGACGTGTTTGTGTGCCTCATGGACGCGACCGCCGGCGTCTTGTACGTCTCGGGCACCAACATGGAGAGCATGTTCCCCGATGCGCTCAACCCGACCAAGATGACGGCGCTGCTGCAGATGACGGTCCAAGCGACTAAAAGTCTCCAGACTACGACTGTCCAGTCGGCGTCGGTCTTGCAAAAGACCGTCATGGACAAGTGGGAGGCGTCGCAAAAGAAAAAGTAGATGGCCCGTCGAGTGCGAGTCGACTAAGCGCTCGAATTGTGTGTAGGCCCAAGTTTGCCGTCGACGACCGCGTCCTCTGTGGTGTCTTTGGGTCGGGTTTCGTTCTGGACGTGAACGCCGAGACGAGCGTGTACCATGTCAAGCTCCGGAAGCTTGGGGTCGAGGGCCACTTTCACGAGGCGGCGCTCCGCCCTTTCCCGTACGATCGCGCGACGCACGTGATTGTGGGCGAGAAGCACACGTCGGTGCCGATGGAAACGTACCAGGCGCAGCACAAGAAATCGCGCAGCGAAATCATCAAGAGCTCGATGGCGGCCAACCGCCAGAGCAAGCAACACCTACCCACTCTCTTCTGATCCATCAACTACACTATTTGTCTACTACTACACATCGACTAACTGGCACAACGATCGAGCGAGATGAAAAAAGATTGCCATGACATGCATGAATACTCATTCAAATGTTTATAATTTTTATTAATTTAGTTCGCTATATAACTTCTACAAGACAATATGTCCGTCGCAAACCCGGGGCTCCAGCTGCGCTTCGTAGTTTGGATCCAAGTACGCGCAGGGCGTTACCTCTGCATGCACCATGTCTTCGTCGTCGTCGTCGTCACTGCGGTCTTGCTCCAGACTGAGCAAGAGCTGGACGT